TTACATTGGAGGTCAGTGAGAAGGTCACTTACATTGGAGGTCAGTGAGAAGGTCACTTACATTGGTGGTAATTGGCAAGAAAGTCACTTAACATTGTTGGTTATTGGCAAGAATGTTTCTTACATTGGAGCTCTGTGAGAAGAATGTCCCTTACATTGGTGGTCAGAGGATTCTCACCCATACATTTACCTAAAAAGATCAATGGTGCCAGCGGTAGCTTAATTGAAAGGCATAATTACTTGTAGAACCCCTAGCAATCTCTGGAGGAACCCTGGGGTTCCATAGAACTGTGGTTGAGAAAGGCTGGTCTAGACTGTTCCCTCTGAAACTTGTTGACACAGATGTCTATGGCTTGATCATATGGGAACAATATGAATTGTGTCTACAAGTTCCCCGCCTGGCCTCCATATGAATGAATGGTGGCCAAGTGGCTATTTCTCTTTCTTTATAGTGCCCAAAGCTTCTAGATCTCATCTTGGCTTGATCCTTTCAATCAGTTTCAGGTGGTATATTAGTTGAGGTTGGTAAAAAAAAAAATGGAGCACAGGAAGTGCATTCAGAGGATTTACAATGTCAACCAAAAACATTCCACAGCAGCAAAAAGAAACCGTAATCACAGCAAACCACAGCAAATCCCGGCCTTTGCCGCTCTCTCACGTTGTCTCACCATTGCTGTGTATCAGATTAGACCCTCAAATCCATTTCCTGACCTGTTGGGAGAAAAGTGACACCATGCATCTTGTGTACACAGAACATGGAGGCAGAATACACACAGGGGGTTAACACTTCACAGCAATGTGGAGGAAAACCCGAGCTATCCTTACCTGTATGGGGATCACTGAGACAGAGCCAAGATAGGACAGGTATCCAGGTCTGCCATATGGTTTCATGTATGGGCTGTACAATACCAGAGAATAGCAGAAGGCTGTAACCAGAATTTGCCAAGTCCCTGAAGTGAAACCTCCAAAATGCCCAAAAGGAAGCAAAGAGATCCAGGCTAAACTAATATTGTCTAGACGTTGATCCATGTGTATCCGACTTCTTACAACAAGCTTTATGAGCTTTGTGTATTTCACCCAGATCTGTGCCATAATCCAGAGGAAGACTTTACCTCTGAGCAGCTAAAGTGGATGAACTTCAAGCTGTGGAGGGCTTTGTGGACACCACCTGACTTGTCAAACTTCGATTTGAAAAGTTCAACATTGATGGTGTCCTGTCAGGTGCGCTCACTGTTTAAATATTCAGTTGAGGATGCAGTGGCTTTCTGAACACAACTGTTGGCAGTTAATAGAGGAATCTATTGGATGAGAAACGTATTAGATGGAGGACGCAATGAGATTCCTCTCATTCATTCCATTGGTGGATCAAGAGAAATCTGTGCGCCTGGCTATTCTCACCTCCTGTAGTGTCTCTGGAACAAGAAGTGAAGGCAAATCTCCCCAAAGGAACTCAGACAGCAAAAGCCCAACAGGGGTGATAACCATTCCCTACTATATCAGAAATAAAAAATGGCTTTGGAGGCGTACTGTATATACATTAAATGGTAACTATAGACTGTGTTGTCACTGGAGAGTCGCCCTGTTCTGATGGCACCCAAACATGTACACATCTGTTAAAGCCTAACAGTTCCTCTAATTCCACAACATAGACTCAGTCCCTATCCACCTTTATATTCTCCTACAACCTGATATCATGCCAGGACTCATCTCCTATCATCGTCTACATCCATTATCCTTCACCCCCAATATCGTCCTAGGAATGATTTCTTCCATACCCTCCAATCCCTGGATGGGAAGAGAGAAGGAGCAAGAAGTGGGGCGAAGAAGAGAGAGAGAGGGGGTGCAGGGGGAGATGATAGAATGGGGGGGGGAGCAAGAGGGGGGAGAAGAGAGACAGGGAGGATAGGAGAGAGAGAGGGGGAAAAGGGATAAGGGGGAGGGGGAAAAAGAAGAAGGGGGGAGGGGGGGGAAAAAGAAGAAGGGGGGGGGGGGAAAGAAGAAGGGGGGGGGGGGAAAAGAAGGGGGGAAAAAGAAGAAGGGGGGAGGGGGGAAAAAGAAGAAGGGGGGAGGGGGGAAAAAGAAGAAGGGGGGGAGGGGGGGGGAAAAAAAGAAGAAGCGGGGGAGGGGAAAAAGAAGAAGGGGGGGGGGGGAAAAAGAAGAAGGGGGGGGGGAAGAAGGGGGGGGGGGGAGGAGGAAAAAAAAGAAGAAGAGGGGGGGAGGGGAAAAAAAAAAGAAGGGGGGGGAGGGGAAAAAGAAGGGGGGGGGGGGGGAAAAAGAAGAAGAAGAAGGGGGGGAAAGAAGAAGGGGGGGGGAAAGAAGAAGGGGGGGAAAGGGGGGGGGGGGGGAAAGAAGAAGGGGGGGGGGAAAGGAAGGGGGGGGGGAGAAGAAGGGGGGGACTGTGGGGGAGAAAAGGAGTAGAAAAAGGGGGGAGAAGAGATAATAGGAGGTGATGGGAAGGTAAAGAGAGGGAAGTGGGATGGGGGGAGAAGATAGGAAGTGGGGGATGGAGAAGGAGGAGAAGAAAGGGGGGGAGAAGGAGAAGAAAGGGGGGGAGAAGGAGAAAGGGGGGGAGAAGGAGAAGAAAGGGGGGGAGAAGGAGAAGAAAGGGGGGGAGAAGGAGAAGAAAGGGGGGGAGAAGGAGAAGAAAGGGGGGGGAGAAGGAGAAGAAAGGGGGGGAGAAGGAGAAGAAAGGGGGGAGAGAAGAGAAGAAAGGGGGGGAGAAGAAGAAGAAAAGGGGGGAGAAGAAGAAGAAAGGAGAAGAAGAAGAGGAAGAAGAAGAAAGGAGGGGAGAAAGGGGGGGGGGGGGGAAGGAAAGAAGAGGAGAAAAAGAAAAGAGATGGGGGGGGGGGATGAGAGTTGGGAGAACGTGCGAGATCCAAGCAATGCATATAACGAACACAGGATTTTTCCTCAGCAAGAACGGGGTTACACTTTAACCGCAAACCTTTACAATCCATAACAATGATCCCTGTCGCAGAGGGATGCGGTTTATGGTTTTGGCAGAGATGTGACGGCTACACTTCATTATCACCTTTCATATGAAATATTACTAGCCATCAGTGACTGATACATTGATAAAGGGTGTGATCAGGGCCAGCGCTACCACTAGACAAACTAGGCAACCACCTAGGGCGCACTGTCACCTGGGTCACAGCCACTAGTTTTCCCTACTCTCCTGCCTTCTGAGAATCGTACCACATAGTGTATTTTTTTACTTCTGGTTTTATGTTCACTTTGCTTTTTCTACTTCGTTTAAGTGAATTGTTGCAAAAAATGTCCACCAAGGGGCTTCTGAACCCCCAAGTAGAGGGATACAGCAGTGTGCTTCCAAGCCTCTAGGAGGAGCAGAGAGCTTCAAGCATGTAGCCTGTCCTCCAAGGTACAGGACCTTCCCCCTGTGACGTCACGTCCGCCTCGTGTGCATTCCAAGCTGGCCAAGGCACTTTCCGGTTGTTCGGTGACATCCTGGCATTGCTCCATCTCTTCTTCCACAACTCCAGACCCACACTGGCTCATCCTTAGGACTGGAAAGACTGACTGTGACATTATCGATGATAAGCGACATTTCTTTCTAGTGAGTGTGTTGCTGAATTTACTTTTTTTAATGGACTTTTGAAGTTTAATTTTCTTCGAGGGGGGGTGCAAGATAGTCTAGCACCGGCCCTGGGTGTGATGACACCGGGAAGAAGTCCAGCTCTTAGGACACAGAAAAATTATAAAGAACTGTTCTGCCAGCGGCAATCAATCAGGATCCGCTGGGAAAGGAGCTGAACATTTCATTGTAGCACAATGGCGCCATCTTGAGTGTTCGTAAAAAGATACCACCCTTTATTATTCTCTAGGTAGTATTCCTGATTGGTAATCACTGGTACTAACCACAGCTAAACAAATTAGAAGCAATAATCCGATCAATAAGGTCTGGAGACCAGTAGTAGGACTCCACTAAGGATAGGATGACATTGAGCCCACACAGACAGCAAGCCCCGATCGTCTGCAGAAACCCGGGAGACAGCATGTGAAGAACGAACTTCATTCTACACTGGGAGGACCTGTCCCTGACCTAAACCTACAACCACAATGTACAATCTCCTTCAGAGCTACCAAAACTATGGAATAGGTGGCCAGACCTAAACAACCCATTCAATTTGTACAAACCCAGGCAGGACCTTGTAGTATATGGTCGATGGAAGACCTAAAGAAGCTCATACAATCAGATTGTATAGTGGTTGGTAAACTTTAGAGCATGAATAGAGGCCATGTGAATGTACCATGATTTGTAGATCAGTCTGGACCCTCGGGGCCACTTCTAACTTTGGGTTTCTAGTACATCTGTAGCATATTGGTTGTGTTTTGTATACTGCTTTGTATTGTTCCTTAGGTGCAGGGGCGGACTGACCATTTGGAAACTTGGGCACTGCCCGAGGGCCCGGGGTCAGTAGGGGGCCCCATGAGATGCCCCTGGTACCTTTTTTATAGGCTTTTTTGAGTTTGGGCAAGGACACAGGGGCCCCATGATCCCCTATTGCCCGGGGGGCCCCATGAGTTGTCAGTCCATCCCTGCTTAGGTGTCTACTCTGTGCAGCTCATACTTAGTTACATAGTTAGTCTGGCTGAAAAAAGACAAAAGTCCATCCAGTTCAACCATTAAATAAAAAAAAAAGTTATAATCCTACACCCACAGTTGATCCAGAAGAAGGACTGGACTATAAGTGAAGTCCACTATTGTTCGTACATCCAACAAAATGTATCTTCAGTTCAGGGGTGGACGGACAACTCATGGGGCCCCCGGGCAATAGGGGATCATGGGGCCCCTATGTCCTTGCGCAAACTCAAAAAAGCCTATGAAAAAGGTACCAGGGGCATCTCATGGGGCCCCCTACTGACCCCGGGCCCTCGGGCAGTGCCCGAGTTTTCAAATGGTCAGTCCGCCCCTGTTTCAGTTAATGCTGGACAGGAGGAAGAGAAGAGTTACTGGAGGAGTTACAGGAGATCCAAACTCACCAAAAGGCAGCTCGAATCTTGTGTCCAGCAAGATCATATGGAGAGTGGGGTTCCTGGTTCCGCAGATCTCATCGTCCTTCATTAACACCTCAGCCTCCAGTGCTGACCACTCCCCGGGCCCCTCCTGTAAAAAGGGAAAAAGAAAATTAGTGTTAGCCCAGGAATTAAGGAACCACAATGGGTGCAAAAAGATAATACAACGCCACGACAGCCCCAAATCCAATGTCCCAATACATCATTTACTTGCTGTGGTTCTCCGTGAAAGCCAAATTCCAGCATGCGTATCAGTGTATATATATATATATATATATATATATATATATACACATATATACACATACATACACACACATACATACATACACACATACACTCTTCTTGTCTGTACAGGAAGAAAGGAAAAATGCCCCACAGAGGTATACAGGCAGCACTTCTAAGGGTCCATCCACACGGATGTGCTTCTGATGTGTTCATATTGACTTACAATAGTAGGTGCCTTTTTTGGTACCCTTTTGAAAAACTGCATCAAAGACGCAGCATGCAAGACTTTTCAAAGCGCAGACACAAATAAAAGGAAGAGGGAGTACTGGGTGCCGCACACCAACCAGATCCGACAGTCGCTAAGCAGTCTCAGCCTAGCTCCAATCAGGCCACACCCCCTGTGCTGTCCTACTAACAGATAGCTAACAAAACTGACAGAAGCAGCATTGCGTTTCATTCCAAAACTGAATTTACTTCTGAGTAGTTCTGTAAAACTGTAATACAATCATATAAACTGAAGTTACAACATGCTTGTCAACATGTCTCTCACAATGCATACAATGATCACATTTCTTACAAACATCTACCTACAAATCACATTAAATATATTGAAATGCGATCTAGCTACGTATGTAACTTTAACAAACACAATGAAAGAACTTACAGGCAAATGTGTATTAAAGGGAGAAAGGAGGAGACCTTCACTGGTACTCTTCAAGAAGCTGAAATGGCTGCAGTGGTTTATGGGCAATCTTCATTCCTAACATGAGACACTTCCTGTTCTTTAATGATAAGGGTGCAATTGCAGTGAACACCGAATAGATGGCTTCCTACACAACACACTGATGATATACAGAACACCCCTGATGTTTCGCGCACCCACTGGGGTTAATAATGCAGGTGGGGTGAACAGGACGAAACACGTCAAAGGCGTGGCCTGGACTTTATTTTCCCGGATGTCAAGTCCTAAATGTCCTTTCTTACAGGGAAATAGGGTAAATAGTTGAACTGGTTATACGGAGCCCTGGCAGGGATGCCTTGTTTTATGACAATATCATGCGAACGTATTTAAGGTTTTCTTTATTAAAGTCTAAAATCTTTCACAGCCAACTAGAGTACAGAAAATTATTTTGTGCTGAATATGGTATAAAACGGATTTATGACACAAAAATCTGCCAAGTTCTGAAGAGGCTGTCATGTAAATTGGTTACATCAGAGGAACAGCGGGAGTCCCTGAATCTCTGACACCCTGTGGCTCAGAGTAGAACACAGAAGCAGCGGGGGACCTTTCTGAATGGAAGACCAACATTTTCCCGTAAATGATTCTTGACAGTTAATTGGGAAATACAGTGATCACAGACTGTCCAATTGAGATGATAAATACAGCTTTATCACTCTTTCACATGGTGGTTGCAGCACAATATCATTTTTAAAGCACAACTAAAAGTAAAAACGAAAAAAAAAAAAAAAAAAACAGCACTGGCTGCAAAACTCACCTCCTCTCTAGTGCTGCCCCGTGCATTAATTCCTTTTTGACCTTAGAGGTCATCAGTCCATCAGCCTTCAGGTGAATGAAGATAGTTCAGGACATGGTAGACCTGTCAACACAACACCCTGCAGAAATACCACGAAGATGGAGAGAACAGCGCTGATGTCACGATGTCAGCGCACTCTGCAGCATTGCGGCTGGCCCACTACATCCTAAGAGGACCATGTGTGGTACATGACTGGTCTGAAGACATCTGGAAATCGTATCAAATCAATCCCATCACCCTATTTAGCTCAAATACAGTTTCACCACCTTCTAATCCACTGCCCACCACTTTCTAAAGATCAAAATCACTGCCCTCTAACGTCGACTAAAATTCACTGTCCACTACCTTCTTTAGCCCAAATCCACTACCCATCCCCTTCTTTCAATGCCCAACACCTCTTTCAGCTCATATCTACTGCTCACCCCCTTCATCAACACAGATCCACTGCCCAATTTTCTCTACAGCTTTTTTTCAGCTCTAATTTAATGCTTCCAGTGTTCTTCAGCTCAAATGCACTACCCACCACCTTCTTCGGGTCTAGTTGACCGCCTAACACTATCATCAACTCAAAGTCAATAACCCCCATCCTCTTTGGCTCAAATTCACCGTCCGCCACCTTCAAATATCCTGCTCGCCACCTTCTTTGAGAAAGAAAAGGTGGTGGGTGGGGAGAGGATTTGAGCCAAAGTCAATGGCCACCACCCTCTTCAGGTTTATTTCAATGCCCAACACCATCTTCGACTCCATTTCAATGCCCAACCCCTTCTGAGGGTCCAATTCAACCTTCTTTAGCTCAAATGCAATGACCAAAGCCTTTTTTGGCTCTGATTCGATGTGCAACACCTTTCTCAGCTCTAATTCTCTGCTCCTCACATTTTCACAGCCTTCCTCAACTCATATCCAATGCCCAACAAATTCTTCAACTCAAATTCAATGTCTTAACATCTTCTTCAACTCAAATTCAATGCCCAATACATTTGTCAACTCAAATTCAATGCCCAACAAATTCTTCAACTCAAATTCAATGCCTACCAGCTACTTTGACTCAAATTCAATGCCCAATAAGTTCTTCAGCTCAAATTCAATGCCTGACATCTACTTCGAATCGAATTCAATGCCTGACATCTACTTCGAATCGAATTCAATGCCCAACAAGTTCTTTGACTCAAATTCAATGCCCAACATCTTCAACTCAAATTTAATTCCCACCGCCTTTTTCAGCTGAACTTTAATGCCCAACACCTTTTTTGGGCTCAAATTTAGTGCCCAACACCTTCTTTGTCTAAAATTCACTGCCCACCACCTTATTTGGTGTGAATTCATAGGCCAATCTTTTCTTCGGCTCAAATTCAATGCTCAACACCTTTTCCGCATTCACTGCCCAGCATCTTCGTCAACTTAAAGTTCAAGCCACCACAATGTGGCACAGCATCGCATGCAAAGGCCCACTCTAGTCAGCACCACTAGAGCCAGGGTCATTCCGAGTATAGTATCAGCCCACCACCTTCACTCTAAGCCAGGTCTCCTGCCCACCCACCACAACTTTTACTGTACAGACTTGTGCAGATGGGTCTCCTTTCCAGCCACCTTCAGCAGGCAGAGATGACCTTCAGCAGACCACAAGTTTGACATGCCTGCTGTAAACATTTGATGCAAAGAGGCTTTTTAAACTGAAGACCCCTAAGATTACTTTCTCCCCACCTACTGTGTAGTGATGCATAATGTGTGTAGTCTGCGGTTATAACTATACATGCCGTGTGTGTTATGTGTTACAAGTGTGTGTGATTTTTATCTCAATTTCCCACACATTTTCCCATTATTTTCACCATCACCACCATAAAGGAAAATGCTGCAAACCTGATCAGTGTTACAATAACATTTTTAATTTTTGTATATCTATCGAATTCAAAGTTTAGTTATTGTCCTACAAAAACTTAGCTTGATGCCCTTGAACTATTCCATACAGCAAAGTGACGTTTTACAGGGTTTTGGGGGGGGGGGGGGGGTGCTGTGTGCTCTGCGGTGTAGTGCGCACACACAGTAAGAAATATCAGGTGCAAAATAAAAAAAAAAAAAAAAAAAAACAGTGAGCACACAAAAAAGTACACAGGGTTTTAAACATGGTCCACTGAAGAGAAAGGACCCTAATCCCCCGGGCTACAAAACTCCTGATGGAGACTGAAGTACTTGTGGTCCACCTAGCCAAAACCAGGCAGCCCTTTCCTTAAAGGAACCTGCTGAAGCACAGTCCACACAAGCACCTTCCCTCGAAGAGAAAACCTCAGGTCAAGTTCAAGGACTTACACCCTAATTGGGAGGGAGTGGAGGGACATTGTGCTGTACAAACTGTGTAAGAAGAAAAAAAAAAAAAAAAAAAAAAAAAACATACAACATAAAATAATGGGGATAAATTAAAACTGCTTAGGGTGCCAAAGTGCAATGGCTGGCCTTCCAGCTGCTATGAAAATTCCCTTGTTCTCAGCCAAAAGGCCAAGCCCAGGAGGCCGGTGTAAAAGAAAAAAAAAAAAGGAGGAAGAGGAGGAAGAGGAGGAGGAAGAGGAGGAAGAGGAAGAGGAAGAAGAGGAAGAGTTGGAAGAGGAGGAAGAGGAGGAAGAGGAAGAGGAGGAAGAGGAAGAGGAGGAAGAGGAAGAGGAGGAAGAATTAGAAGAGGAAGTGGAAGAAGAGGAAGAAGAGGAAGAGGAGAAAGAGGAGGAAGAGTTAGAAGAGGAAGAGGAGAGAAAGAAGAAGAAAGGAAGAGGAGGAAGAGGAAGAGGAGGAAGAGGAAGAGAAAGAAGAAGAAGAGGAGGAAGAGGAAGAGGAAGAGAAAGAAGAAGAAAAGGAAGAGGAAGAGGAAGAGGAGGAAGAGGAGGAGGAGGAAAGAGGAGGAGGAGGAGGAGGAGGAGGAGGAGGAGGAAGAGGAGGAGGAGGAAGAGGAGGAGGAGGAAGGAGGAGGAGGAGGAAGAGAGGAGGAGGAGGAGGAGGAAGAGGAGGAGGAGGAGGAGGAGGAGGAGGAAGAGGAGAGGAGGAGGAAGAGGAAGAGGAAGAGGAGGAAGAGGAAGAGGAGGAAGAGTTAGAAGAGGAAGAGTTAGAAGAGGAAGAAGAGTTAGAAGAGGAGGAGGAGGAGGAGGAGGAGGAGGAGGACTGAAGTGCTATGACCATGGTGCCATAGCAATATCTTAGTGGGCAACCCAACTGAACTGCCAC